CAGGAGTTCAAGACCAGCCTGGGCAACATAGCAAGACCCCATCTCTATAGAAAGTAAAAAGATTCCTTTCCATAGAACATAGCTAATTTTTTTTTCAATACAAAAATTAGCTGAGTGTGGTGTGCACACCTGTAGTCCCAGCTACTTTGGAGGCTGAGGCAGAGGCTGAGGAGCATTGCTTGAGTCCAGAAGTTTGAGTCTGCAATGAGGTAGTATCACACCATTGCATTCCAGCCTGGACAACAGAGTGAGACCTTGTCTCAAAAGAATAAGAGGAAGAAGCCGGGCGCGGTGGCTCACGCCTGTAATCCCAGCACTTTGGGAGGCCGAGGTGGGCAGATCACCTGAGGTCAGGAGTTCAAGACAGCCTGACCAACATGGAGAAACCCCATCTCTACTAAAAATACAAAATTAGCCGGGCGTGGTGGCACATGGCTGTAATCCCAGCTACTCGGGAGGCTAAGGCAGGAGAATCGCTTGAATCTGGAAGGCAAAGGTTGCGGTGAGCTTAGATCGCACCATTGCACTCCAGCCTGGATAACAAGAGCGAACCTCCATCTAAAAAAAATAAATAAATAAGAGGAAGAAGGAGGAAGAGAAGGATAAGTTCTGAAAATATGAATGAGGATAAATTGTATTCAGTGGCGATTTCTCCCTCCTTTTTAAAAAAAGCCTTTCGGCCGGGCACGGTGGCTCACGCCTATAATCCCAGCACTTTGGGAGGCCGAGGTGGGCGGATCACCTGAGGTTGGGAGTTTGAGACCAGCCTGACCAACATGGAGAAACCCCGTCTCTACTATTAAATCAAAATTATTCTGCAATTTGTATATGTCATATAATAGTGTAAGCAGATATAAACATAACATAACACTTCATCCAAGGAACCTGAAAGTTTTTTTTGCTTTTTTCTTTTTTATTCCTGAAGACGGATTTCCGCTCTTTTGGCCCGAGCTTGGCCTGCGAATGGTGTGAACTTGCTCACCACCAACCTCGCTCCAGTCAGTGAATTCTCTGCTAGCTCCAAGTAGCAGGGATATACAGGCATAGTCCCTACCACACCCGCGCTAATTTTGTATTTTGAGTAGA